CCTCGTCCCCGCAGACGCCGGAAGAGGGCGGCGAACTACGCCTCCCGGCAGGCATCGCACCACCCTTCCGAGCGCCCGGGAGGGAAGGGGCGTGCGCCGCCTGTCGGGAGGCGTAGTTCAGGTCGCGCGGGGGACGGAAATCCCGCGAGAGGAGGAGGAAGGGGGCGGGATCGAGCGGCAGTCTTCCTCTCGGAAGTGGGTGGCTGTCGGGCTTCCCAGCCCTGGGGTTTCCTGGTGGTCTTCCATCTATTTACTCACCCGCTGATCTTCCGACCCCAAACTAAGTTGGCCGGATGCAGCTACTTGCTGCATGTTAAGCCATCATAGATTGGTTTTCTTTATCCAGGGTGGGAACTCAGCTACTGTGGTTTGTTAAACCATGACTGAGTGAGTGGCTGGGTTTGCACAACACGTGAAACCCTAAACCTGGAATAACAAAGCAGTGGCTGTGTTCAAAAAATAGGGATGATCTGGTGCAAACAATACGCAAGGTTCGTGGCTTCTTCCTCACAAGGCACTAAACCACCAACTGGCCAACCCATTTTAGCTTAGTTAAATTGTGTAATCCAGGCTGTATTCTGCAGCAGTTCTCCTCTTCCCCAGCCTGGAACCCTCAATGCATGTTGGATGTGATCATCCCCAAAGCTGGCAAGGCGTGATAGAAATTGTAGTCCAACCCATCTGGAGGGCGCCAGGTTGGGGAAGGCACCCAGAATGCCCTAGACTAGTGCAGACAACCACCTGAGAACTCAACAGGCTAGGACAGTGTTGTCCAAACTTGGCCACTTTAAGATGAGTGGACTTCAACTCCCAGAATTCCCCAGCCAGCCATGCTGGCTGGGGAATTCTGGGAGTTGAAGTCCTCTCATCTTAAAGTGGCCAGGTTTGGCTAGGAGATCCAAAAACAGGGTAGGGAAGCAGCCAGAAGTGCAGATCATAAAGTCCAGTCTGCAGCTGCAAGTCAATTTTAATCTAAACTGGAGAGTGATACTAAGGATTTTGTGGTTTGTTTTTTCACATAGCATTGCAGTGCAGTCCCATGCAAGACGGAGATGGGAATTTGAACGCAACACCTTTAAAGGGCTTACGTTGAAACAAGTTTGGGGAAGGCCACTCCATAATTTTACCACTGCTGGCTCCCAATACTAGCTTATGAACCATGTATTGCAAAGCTCTAACAATTTTCAGACTACAGTGAACGTGCATCATATTCATGTTGAAGACTGAGATATTTTTGCATAATAACACAGTAAGAAGAAAAACAGAGTTAAGAGAGAGCATGGTCTTTTTTCTTTTAGCAGTGCACCAGAGCTGTCAAGTTCCAGCAGAGAGAACAAATAGAGAAGTCAAAATGGGGAGTGGACAGCAGATGATAGCAACTAGTTCCAGGAAGTGAAGCTGGGTCAAAACCGATCAGAAGTGGATGGGACAACACCAGGAAGTCCTACAACTGAGACCGGGAAGTTGAAAAACCATCTCAGGAGACCACAGTAGGAAACGACTTCCGGACTGTTGGCAGGAAAGCTGGATGGACACATTCATGAAATCACCAGGAGCGGAGCCCAACTCAAGAGAAACTTCATCTTTAAAAGATAAAGGAACGGAAGGCGTTGCTTTTACAAGTGTGAGTGTTCAACATTTATCCCTGCACAGTACTATATGGCTTATATTAATCTCTCTCGTTTGTTTACAGTATTTTCAACACCACGAACTGTATCACAAGATCCAACTGAATTAATATTGTTCAGCACGCAATATAAATCTTTGCATTACTGTAGAGAGAATTTGCATTCTTGCACTGTTAGTGTAATAGATCTACCTGATCTTTGCTTGAGGCTTCCAGTAGGAGTTGCCAATATACTGAGCCTCGACCCATCCGCCTATTACTTATGGTGCTGACAGCCAGCAGCTCTTTAGAATTTCAGATATGAATCTTTCTCTTCCCACAACTGAATCATCTGAGACTTTCCATTTGCAAAAGCCGGGCTTACCTTGAGGTCTTGCCCCTCCTCTACTAAAAAGACAGGAGAAAGGGTACTGTAGGATGACACCACTATTTTGTGCAAAAGTGTGTTTTAAAATGTAATTAAAATTTAACTGAATTAAAAATAATTAAACTAAAAATAAAAAATTAATTGGAATTAAATCTTAAAATGTGTGTGTGATTTAAAAGTGTGATTGCAGAATACAAGCCAGGTCTGCTTAGATTCAACAGTTGTTGCGGTGTTGAGACCTTGTGGAGTAAGAAGAACAACTCTCTTGGTAAGTAGGAAGAAGCTTGTTGAAGCACACCCTCTCAAGGCTAAATAATGTACCTCCCTAATTTTTTTCAAGCAAAGAATCTTACAGTGAATTTGCCACGAAGTATGATAGAAGTTATTCTCCTTTATTCCCATCTGAATGGAATTTGGATAGGATAGAATTAATTTCTGACTTCCATTTCAAAGTCAGAAAATACTAATCTTCACCTCTGGATGGCAGGCAGTGTCTGGGTTTAGCAGGAAAAACAAAACAAAACCCAAACTGGAATGGAATATGTTGGGAGGACAAATTTCAATCCACAATGAATTTCAGCATGGTACATTCTGTAAACTCACAGCTGTAAAACCAACAGGCTGTTTCAGTAAAAGAGCGGTTTTGGAACAAGCAGTTTAAGGAACATAGTTGTATTTTTTTAAATAATAATTTTATTAAAGATTACAATTGACAACAATAAAAACTAATACAAAGTAAAAAATATAAAAGAATAAAAAGAAAAAATAGAAGGTGCAGAAAAGAGAAAAAGAGAAAAAATAGAAAAATAGAAAAGAAAGAAAAAATAAAAATACAGTATAGAAAAAGAAACGAAAGATATGAAGAAGTGACTTCCCCCTTCCTCACAAGTATAAATAATTTTAGTAACTTAACAACTTCTCTTAAAATGCAACAAATGATCTCTTCTTCCCATATCCTATCTCTTATCTATAAACAAATCCATAACGCGTTGTCATTTCAGTCCTGATGTCAGCAAAAGTCCATTAAGGGTTATCAGAAATAACAATATATTTATTTTAACCATGATCAAATGAACCAAATTTACATTACTTCCTTTTACTTCTAACAATCTTGATCTTTAGTCCCGTCAAATAAAAATTATTTGGACTAATATTGAACTTATAAATAAGATAGAATAGAAACATTTAAGTTTAAAAACCCCAGGAAATCCAAAAGACGATTGCTGCTTTAACACCTAGTTCTAACATAAACCTATTACTTTTTTCTTATAATTCACTATAAGTAGAGTTTGTAACTGTATAGATATGCATATGTAACATTTAGTGCATAGACCACAGGACAGCATTGGGTGTGGTCAAAAAAGTCAAGATGGTGGCCATGATGATGTGATTGAAGTTTCACATAAAAAACAACAGTCCAGAGGGCAGCCTCCACAAGCATAAACCCACTTTGAAAAAATTTCTCAACAAATTCTTAAAACCAATCCTTTAGCTTTAGTTTGTTTCAGACTTCAGAATTATGCCACTGATTCTGTAGTCCATGCTGTTAGCATAAATTAAGTTCATTCACCTAATTCCTCAATATCCCTTAAAAATAGAGAAGGATAAACAGAGATGAAGGTCTATAGAAAAAGCTGTTCTTTTTTGACCTGCCGGTGCATTTCCTCATTAAAAAAGAAACAGAAAAGCCATATAAGGAGCATATCCTGAAGTCCCATAAAAAGTAACTGGTTCATAGCTATCTCAAAGTAAATAGCATTGAAGTGCCATTCATTTGAAGTATAGCAGGACTTCTTCCTGTTTTCCTCTATTTTTGGAGGAGCAGGACACCTCCACCCATTCAATTCCACCCATTCCAATGCTTTTTATTTTCCTGTTCTTCCTTGCTATGAACAGAGGTAAATATATGTTCTCTCTAGCAAATATTCCATTTGTGCAGAGGAAGACCCATCCCCAAACTCTGGGCCTTTCCCCGGTTTCCTCTAACCACCTTTATTCTGCTATGTTTGTATGACATGGCCTTCATTCCCAGCCCCTGAGTGAGATAGGTTTACGCTCACCTTAGCTGTTCTGTTGTTAAAACAGTCCCCCCCACCCATATTTTGTTACCATCCAAGGATGCCTCAAGGTGTGTATAATCAGTTAGGTTTTTTCTCCTGTTCCTTTGGAGAGAGGTCTGCAGAGATTTGAAAGAGGGGCTGAAGAGGTGGGATAGGAATCCAAATCAGGGACAGCCAACTCCAAGGCTAGGTGGGAAACAACCGTGAGAAAAGGCTCTCTAAAGTTGTGGCTAGTCAGTGTACAGGTAGTCCTAGTTTAGATACAACAACAACAAAAGCCTCTGCCGTGATTCGGCAAATCTTTTAACACAATGAATGAATTTCCTGAATGTATAGAATTTGCTGAACCATCGGTGTGTTTATTTACTGTATCCTGCTATTGAAGTTTTTATTATGTTAGCCACCCAGAGTTGTTTACGTGAGATGAGCCACCATATACATCTCATAAATAAATAAATAAACGTATTGCCAAAAAGAACCGTGAATTTGGGAAGCCAGTTTTGGGCTTTTCGTCTAACGCAACCTCTCCCCCTTTAAAGAGTTGCTAGGATCAGAAAGACCCAGGTTCCCATCCGCCCCCAGCCATGGAAGCTCCCTGGGGCCAGACCCTCCCTCAGTTTACCTGCGGAGAAAAAAGTAGCAAAATAGCATGCTAGGTATATCCTGAGCTCTTAAAAACAAAATCTAACCAATGCAATAAATTGTTGCTGAAGCACTGGGGGGTTTAGACTGCATCACACCCAGAAAAAGGGACAGAAGATTTTGGACTTCATGGAGAAAAGGAAGTAATTGCACCAATCATCAGCCAGACGGTGAGAAATCATTTAAGCATCGGGCTCACATTCCTAGCAGGGGCCATCCCCAACCTAGGGCTCTCCAGATGCAATGGGCTGTAACTCCCACAATCCCATGCTTATTGGGGATTGTGGGTATTGTAGTTCAACGCCTCTGGGAGGCATCACATTTGAATATTAGAGAGTTATACGCTGTACATCTGAAGGTGGGACTGAACAATAGATAATACAGGCAGAATTAGGCAAAACTAGTAAGGAATATAAGACCTCCTCGTAGAAAGGGGGCAATAGACAAATCCATCTCCAGGCAATGGGGAATACTGTAGTTCCACTTTAAAGAGATCGATATGCGCCTGCGCGCCTCTCCGCCCCATCACGTGACAGGGGGCTCGCGCACTCTTCCTTCTTCCGGCTCGATTGTCTCGCTCAGCAAATCCGCTTCCACTTAGAAGCCCTTCCCCTTTTCGGCGTGACGTCAGAGATTGGCGTGCCGCTGGGTTCCTCGCCCACAGGGGAGGCGGGGCTGGGCAGCGTCGGGCTGCTTTAGGACTCGCCGAGCGAGGGGAGGAAGGTACCATTTTGATGGCAGGAGGGGGCTACCGTAGTCCTCCCTCCCGTCCGCGGGGCTGACGCACACTTGGTAAGCCGCGGGGCTTTGCATGCTGCTTTCCCGTATTGAGGAAGGAATTCCGCGCTGCTCGTAGCGGACCGTGCCAGGACTCCGAAATATACACGTGGCTGGGGTAAAAGAAAGGGTGACGGTCGGGTGGGGTGTCCTATTGTCCCCAGGCTTCCTGTGTTGATTGGGACTGCGGAAGGGGGGCAGCCCCTGCCCTGGGGAAGGAATGGAGGGAGTTGGGTTCGGAGACCTTCCCTCAGGCTCACTAGGAAGCCAAGCTGGGCCACCTGCACCCAGCCTGGTCTCCCTTGCAGGACTGTTGTAAAGATCCCATGAATTGCTCTCTGAAGGAAAGGTGGGGGCCTCCTCAGGCACCCTAAAATCTCTGCCAGGTTGCTGGTGTGAAAGTTGTGCAAGACAGTGGGACGGGGGGACCCTGGGTGGAAAGCGATGGGACTCTGGAAGGGGTGCTGCCCTCAAAGAAGGGGCTGGGAGGCGAGAAGGGGGCGGGAAGGTGGGCTTCTCCCCTCGTTCATTTAAGCCCCTTTTTAGCATCGTTAAGGCACCAGCCTGCGTTACGCTCTTCTTTCCTTCTCCGCCACCACAGCACGATCCACCTTAACGGGAAAGCTGGTTTGCCAGGAGAAATGGGGCTTCGGTCTCGATTAAGGGTGCATTGATCTCGTTTTGCCCTGGCGAATATTTCACGCAGACCTTGATTACTGATGAGACCTGTTGGCAAAGGGCAGGAGGTGGAACGACCTGGGTTCAGGTGAAAGGAAGGCCATTTCGGTTCCTTACCGTAAGAGCCGTCGGACGGTGGAAACCCTAGAGAAGGGTCTATTTTTATTTTCTGCATTTTTTTTTCATCGTTTCATGGTTTTTTGTTGGGAGTTGGGCAGTGTCCAAATGGAAGAGCATCAATAAACGAACAAAGAATAGAAGGTGCCCTTTTGCTACTGAAAAGGCATCAGTCGGGGTTCTTTCCCTTGGATTCCTGCACCAAGCAGGGACTGGACTTCACGACCTCAAGGGTCATTTTCAACTCCATCATTCCACGATGGATTGTTTTTAAAAATGGTTGGTTTCTTTACAGTTGTTTAAAGTCTTTTTTTTCCTTCTCCTCATATATACTGCTCAGAGTTCCTTTGGGGGAAGTAGAATGACAGAGAAATACAATAAATACTACAGAACTGCAGCTGTTTCTTCACCATGCCTGGGGCTTCATCCCTGTTGCCACTCAGCTGGTTTTTCACGGGTTCTTCTCTCATTAATCCTTCCCTTGCTCTGTGGCCCTCGCCTTCTCTCAAAACCTTTAGATTCATACGTCGCGTTGGAGCAGAGGACTCTCCAGAAAAGCTTATGTTGTAATAACTGGGTTGGGCTTCAGGCTGCATTTGAGGTTGCGAAGTACCAGACATGCTGTTGGTGGAACAATAAATAATGCCTAAACTTTACGGTTATCCTGAAAGTATCTGTAGGAGTCAAGGAATGTTGCCCAATTAAATAAACCTTGCGCAATTGTTTTGGTATGTGAATAAAAGTTCAAATCCTGCTTTAAAACTGAGATTGAATCGGGGGAGTGATTCCTCAGAAGTCTGCTTGGTTTCGATGGACTTGTATTTCAGAAAGAACAGGGAAGCGTTTTCACAGGTTCCTACTGTTATTGTTAGAGGCCCAAGGGACTTTTGTAGCCAGAAGTCCCAATTATCAGTTTCAGTTGGCATGCCGACAAGTATACTTTTTGGACGGGAAGGCATGTGTGTAGTGATAGCCTCACACTGAGATTATTCTCATTGCTTCATGTGGGTCTCAAATTTTGTCTGGTGCAGAAAAGGCTGTTGAGTTGCTGTGTGTCTGGCGCACCTCTATGGAGGCAACTGTGCTGGCTATTTATTGAGCCAAATTCAAAGTTTTGCTTATGATGGACACGGGCATTTAGCCACATCATTGAAACCCCGCCTGTTTTGTATGTGTGATGCAGTCACGCCTGCAACTTGGTTGATCCCCTCCTCCTTTGGGGTCAGGATAAATCCACCTTCCTGATGCAAAGCATTGGCAAGGGGTTCTTGAGCATGTCAAGGGCCACAGAGAGCCATCTGCGGTTGCTCCTTGGTTAGCCTTCTCTGTGGTGTCCCCCATACTACTAATCCTCTTTTTGCAAATATTCATGTAAGACCTCCTATCACAACTTTTAGGTGCCTGTTAAAGATTTCTCTTTTCACCCAGGCCTTCCATGTCTATTCAAGCAAATAGTTCTGTTTTGCTTTTATTTTTCCATCCCTGTCATCTATTGAATGAGTTATTTTAAGGCATTATTTTATGTGTTTATTATTGCCTTTTAATTTTTATTGTTAACTGCTTTGAGAGACAGTTCTGTGGGAAGCAGTATTTAAAATAAGTAATGAGGCATGCCTCCAAGCAGAGATTTGCTATGCAAACAAATTTATTGTTGTACATCGCTTTGTGTATTTCATTCCTCTCTGGTTTTGCCGTTACTGTCTCTCTCCACTGTGTGTGTGTGCATGCGTCCGCGTGTGCGCAAAAGCCATAACGCCTAGGTTAGTGATGCTATGACATTCTTTGTTGACTAAAAATATTTGGAATGTGTCTTGACTACTGAATGCTTTTCAGTATGGAATACATAGGTAAATGAATTAAAAATATCCTTTAAATATGTGGTAGCTTTAGAATTATCAGCAAAGAGAATATAGGGAGCTCATTGGTGAGAACTGGAGAGAGTCCTTTAGTTCACAAATGTTATTCTGCATAATTTACTGCCAGGTGGAACAGCTGACTATACTTTTCTCCATGCTTTGATGATCATTGAGGATTTATGGTCAAAGCTCAGGGATCAAAGGAAAAGCCCAATCATTAACTGTACTGAATATTTCAAATAGATTTTCTCTTGCTATTCTTGGTAATTTAATATACTTCGCTATACAGTGGCATCTGAGAGATTCTTCATGGTTTAGTAAAATTACAAGCTCATTTTTCCAGATTGTCTAGCATGGTCCACATCTTGTGACTAAATGATTGTTGACTGAAACAGCCGCCATGGTTGGATTCACACAGTGCTAAATAATGAAAATAATAATAATTTACAAATCACAGTGCTTAGGTTTGCCTATCAGTTGTTAAGGAAATTAGCAGCAGTTGCAGACCAGGCAAAAGGCAGTGACAGCTTATTTTAAATTCTGGAATTGGCAGAAGGGTAACATTAGCATCTCCCTCTGGACCTTGCCACACAGCATTTGATATAAGCTTTTAATACGTTTTCTTGAACATAAGTAAGCTTAAAGTCAATAAGACAGTTCAAAGGAGAGAAAATCATAGAAATGACAGAGGAATCTTTGATAAACCATTTATCTTTTTCAAAATACACTAAATTAGCTTTGTATGTGCTAACTGCTACAACAATATTATCTGCTTTTTACTGGAAAGGTTGTTTGATCTCCTCAGTAGAAGAATGGCTAACGAAGTGTGGGACGATGCTTCAATGTCTGTAATAACTTCATATCTTAAAAACAAATCTAACTCAAAATTCAGTTCAAACTGGAATCCATTCCTAGAATACAAATTTGAACCAGATCTAAAATCTGCATTCCTTACACACTCTTATCAGTGTATGTTTTATTTCACAGTAAATATCAGAAACAGATTTTTACTGATATGGATTGGATTTATTATAGGCTATAATTTTACTGGTGATTTATACTGTGTTGATCATAGTTCTCAATATTCATTCTTAGTTTAGAGCAGTGTGTTTCAAACTTGGCAACTTTAAGATGTGTGGGCTTCAACTCCCAGAATTCCCCAGCCAGCATTCTGGGAGTTGAAGTCCACACATCTTAAAGTTGCCAAGTTTGAAAAACACTGGTTTAGAGTTTAATAGTGATTTTTAGACTGTTAAACAAATAGAATACATTCAGTTACTTAAAACTATGCTATACTAGAAAATTATAACCTCCATGACGTGTCTAAATCCCTTGTTCATCTATTTGTACAGGTAATCCCCAATTTAAGAATGAGTTTAATTCCCAAGGTCCATCCTTAAGTTGAATTTGTATGTAAGCCAGAACAGTATTATTGAGGAATACCATAGAAGTAGTATTGCTTAATGAACTCGAACCGTTGTGCATTTAACTCAAATTTCGCTACAGTAGGCTCCGATCTTAACTAGGGGTCATCTGCAAACTGGGTGTTCTTAACCCGGGGACTCCCTGTATTGTTTTATTATCTTGTCATCTTTTTAGGTTTGTTTGTAAATTTTCTTTAATGTTCAATAAAAATACAAACAGGAAACAGGAAAAGGAACAAGGACAGGAGGAACATCCTTTAGAGCTCAGGAGGTTGAGCTATGAGCAGCAGTTGAAGACAGGGCTAGATCTATGGTTTACAGACCTTATTGCGATATAGGCTCTTAAGAAAGGTCTTCGGTATGGACAGGAAGAATTTTAAACAGCCTGTGTTTCCAGTCAGGCAACTGCCAGTCTTGGTTGAGCTCCATCTGAGAAATGTAATTTTTGCAGTGGTGGGAGAAAAATCCACCTGTGTGTGCATTGGAATAACAGTGGAAAAGCAGAGAAGGAAATTCAAGATTAGCGGAACAAGAAGGAAGGAAATACTGTAAAAAGGTGGCTCTTTCCTAAAACTCAGGATGGGCATAAGTAAAACAAGGGAAAACGAGAGGAGGCCTTTCTTCTTACTGCTATGGTAGCAAGAACAGAAAGGGACAAAATGTGGCAGAGAAAAGATAGGGGAATACCGTATACAATTTCAGAGGAAATCACAGGCAAACTACTTCATGGCTTATGCTGAGGTGTCAACTTGGTCACTGCCATTTCAGTATCAACAGATGTCTCAGGATGCAAGGCGTGTATCCAGGTTCATAAACTAGCAGATTCAGGACATACTGTGAGAGAAAACGTATACAGCTAAACTTGTTCTTTAATCATACCGCAGATACCAATGGTTTCTGGGGGTTTTTTTTACTGTGTTTTGCAGATTGGTGAATGCTTCCGCCGTCTAAAACATTTCCTTCAGTCGCTAACTTTCAGATTTTACCCTGCGCTTCTGTCTTGGTTATAATTCAAAGACATTCAAGGTTGGTTGATTTTGTTCTTACAGAATTAATTACGGGACGCATAAGCTCCGTGTTTAAATAGCTTGTATAAATCCTTTCTGTAGAAGAGCAGAATGGAGCAAAAATGTGTTTTGATCCACATTTTGCAGCTGATGAACAGACTTGGGAGTTAGCTGTGATGAAATATGCCTTCTTTCCAAGCTATTGGGGGGGGCGGGTAAGGAAGAATTGAGGGGGGACCTAAAGCCCAAGAAAAGACAGAACTGTGGAAATGCTTCTGAATGTATAATGTTTAGCAGTATCCTGAAAGTTAGGTACTACCTACTCCATTACATATTTAGCTGTAATCTTGTGGGAACCCGTAAGATGCACAACTCCTCTTATGATGTAACTCATCTGAAGTGTTGGTTTCTTCTTAAAGTTTGCGTCGTGCCAGCCTGCTTGCAGTTGTGTGAGTCAGACTTGGCATTTAATCATGGGATTCGGTACTTCAGTTCTGTCACATGCAATGGCCCCGCTTTAATTTTATAGGTGGGAAAAAAAGCAGGTGGTCTTGCCCCTTCAGACTATAGAAGAAGAACCGGGTTAGTCTATGGCAGTGTTTTCTCAACCTTGATAACTTTTAAGATGTGCGGACTTCAACGCCCAGAATTCCCCAGCCAGAAGGGTTGGGAAAAAAATCAGGAGTGGGGTAGCCCCTTTGCCAATTAACAAATCTGGTTAAATGGCAGACTTTTCATCATGAAAGCTTATGCCTTTTAATAAAATTTGCTAGCGGAAAAAGGTGCTCCCAAGCTCTTTTGATTTTTAACTCCATGCTGTTGGGTTAAAGACTAGATCAAAATGCTTCCCGCTTTAAACCTCCACACGTGGTCTCCGCCTTCATCCCTTCTCCATCCCTTCTGAACGTTTCTCACTGCTTTTAAAGCGAAACATTTTGGGAAGCAAGGATGATAGAATGACAGGATTGGAAAGGTTTGTCCTGAAGGAATCTCTTGCTTCTCTGTATGTTCTGTGACGCTTGCATTCTTCGTCTGAAATGGTTTCTCTTTGTATTTCAGAATTTCCTTACCTTGGACCTGTCACCATCATGGGAGAGATTAAAATCTCTCCAGACTATAGCTGGTTCAGAAGTACTGTTCCTCTGAAAAAGGTGAGTGCGGATTTATTTCTCTCTCTGCTCCAATTTAGTTTGGGAGTATTGTTTTATACACTGAAGAATGCAAGCCTTAGAGCTGACACACAGATTTCATTTCCTTCAGACAAACAAGATTTGTCTGGGTGGTCTGGGCTGAGTCTTCTGCCATCTGCAGTGTGTGTGGGGATACATTTCTCCTTCGGCCCTGTTTTTTTGTTGAGTGGCTTCTGGAAATTCACAACTGCTAGCTGTAACAGCTTAGTGGCTGGCTTTCAGGAGAACGTGCCGTTTAGAAGTTTGCATAACTTTAAAGTATTTTTCTAGGCTAGAAAAACTAAAAGGTATGGTGGAAATTGAAGAGTCTTCTGCGATCTAGTATCAGCCGATCCACATGGATAATATTTGTCTCAACTCAGATTTTAGAGCCCACACTTAGAAAGACATGCTTGAACTTGTCCCATGTTGGCAGCACATGAAAGAGGAATAAACTGCACAGCAACATTTACTACTCAGTCTTTTGGTGGAATGAATTTAACCTCCCTCTCTCCTCAACAAGCCTTACTTCTGCTATGAAACCCTTGATTTCTTCCTTGTTAAGTTGCTCTTCAACCTGTATTGCAACAGCGCAATTAACTGAAAGATCGGAACTTCTTAAAAGCATGTGGCCAACTGCTTAAGCGTGCTCCCTTAAAAATCGGTCCAGATAGATCTTTCTAGTGAATAGGAGGTCTCTCAGCGGCCACACTTGAGCCAGATGGCTGCCCTACTGTGACTCAGCTGTGGTTTGATTGCGCTGACTTTGATACCGTGGCCGGAATGGTACGTGGTTCCGTGGTGGAACAGAATGATGCTGGACGGTCTTGGTGAAAAAGAAAGAATACGGTTTCTGGAAGAAGGAGGTTTCTTACAATATCAATAGCAGAGCTGAGCAAAGGACAGATTTGTGTATTTATTTAATACATTTACATGGCTGCCCACTTATATACATGACTCTGGGCTGCTAACAAAACAAAATAAAAACAGAGTAAAAACACAACCAATAATTAAAAAAACAGAAATAACATAAAATAGCAGCCGAGAACAATCACAACATCCCACAGTCAGCAAAACCAAGAAACGGGCTCATCCATCAGGGCCCCAGACTTTATGGTAGAGCCAAGTTTTTAATGCCTTGCAAAAGGCCAGCAGGGCTGGGGCAAGTCTGATCTCAAGGGGATGATGTTCCGAAGGGCAGGTGCCGTGGCAGAAAAGGCCCTCTTCCTGGGTCCCAGCAGATGGCACTCTCTCGTGGATGGGATCCGGAGCATGCCTCTCCTGCTGGACCCAACGGGACGGATAGATACCACTGGGGAGAGATAGCCCCACAAGTAACCCAGTGTCAGGATCTACGCAAGCTAGAAATCTTAGTTTCATTTAATTTAAACCAGCAATGCATACTTGACAGTTAAATGGTTAAAGTGTTAATTGGAGGCCTGCTTGCTTGTTCCCGCCATAGAAGTTAGGAGAAGGGGGGAGGAAGATGCCAACCAGGTGCTGCTGTTGTCTCTGCAGAGGCGCCAACAAGGTCAAGCAACTGTGAGACCAGGAGAAAGGCGCGAAGAATTTCAAGCGGGAAAAGAAAGTAGAAGGGGGGAGAAAGGGGTTTAAAAGGAGAGGTTTTGCTTAGCAATGCTTAGACTTAACAATCTATAGATGCTGTACATTTCTCTTAATAAAGAC